TGACTGAATTTGTTATCCACCGTGAAAACGAGATATTTTCTTAAGGGAGTTGATTTTCACACCATTTTAAACTTCGCACACATCTTTATTTAATTATGGTCATTTGATTAAATAAATCAAACGATATAATAGACAAAATTAAACAAAGTTCTGAAGGAAGATGAAAAAAATGTGTGTTTATCAATACCTTCACCAAGTTTGTTTTGAGCAACTAGAAGTCCAAAATATATACATTTGGAGATTTATTTCCCCAAAGAAAGTAATACATTTTAAAGAAAACTAACGAAAAGTCCTTAAAAAACTTTAGTTTTAATCAAAAGGAAAGGACAAAAGAAAGATGTAAGTGAATAGTATAAAGAGTGACTTTTGAAGGTAAAAATATCCTTAACGTTAAAAGTGAATAGTATCATGAATGTTTTGTTAAGATTCCTTACATTTATGGCATGAAATAATACATCAATAAAGACAACTTTGATTGTAACCGCTTAGTCTCAATTTCAAAAACATTTATAATTTGATTGTAACCGCTCAGTCTTAATTTCAAAAACATTTATAGTTTGAGTGGTTAAGAACTATTTGCTCGCATAAGTTTGTTACATTGTCATATTCCGATAGCATAATGAAAAATCTCCAATTTTTTGGGGAGTAATACAGAAGATTCAAACCAATGACACGAAAGTATGATATGTAGTTTTCTCGTCGATCGTGACCTTGACATATAGTAGTCGACTATCATGTCACAAATTTCTTTTGCTTAGAGGTTGACACCTCACAACACTACTTTTTTATTCATTGAACACAACACATTGGTTGAGAATTAAACCGATACGCGCTCCAGTTATGTGAGGAACCATAAGCTTAACAAGCACGTGAAATGAGGACCTACAATTTAGGCTGAGTTTAAGTTATTGAGGAAGGTGTAATTTATATATGGAACGAATTTTTTAATGATATGGTGTTCTAATTTTATGTAGAAAAAAAGGCAAAATATAAGTTATTTTTTGGTTGAAAGATTTGAGAGGGTCTGTATTATTTGAATGTGGCCAGGGGTGGATTGAAGTGTCTTTAGCCTTTTCAAGCCCCACTAAGAATTACCCTAGTCTATGTATAAACAGTTGACCTAATTGTGCATATCATTTAAGAAATAAATATAACAAATTCAAATATATTTTTTTTAGATCTCGTGTGAAATAAAAGGGTAAAGCTCGTTTGATTCTGAGGATTTGTAAAATGATCAAGCGGAGAAGTTAGGTTAATCTCAACGGCTATTTTGAGTTGTTGCTTTATCAGATCATCAGTTTCTTCGATATCTATCACCTGCTATACATCTAAGAATGAGCATTAAGAAGTTCAACCGATCAGGAACTCCAGTGTTTGGAAAACTTCTCTGAGCACAATGTCATTCGGCCCAATGATAGCAGGAAGTCGATTTCTCAAAGTTTCGCCCTCTGGATGTAGGATACCTCAAACTTTAGCAGAAAAAAAGTGAAAAAATCATTAAAGATAGTATTATTTATTAAATCAGGGCACCACAGCGTTGATGAACAGCTTCTATGTAAATAATTTTCCTCAATTTGGGTTTGAAGGTACATGCCTATAAGACCATCTTCAACCCTTTATCTAAAACTTAAAATTTTTGGTCCAGAAAATTTAACTTTTAATCCAGAAACAGTTTTTCTGCTCCAACTTTTTGGTCTAAAATTTTAGCCCCAAATTATTAACGAATGAATTTAGGCTATTTTTTTTAAATTAACTTTAAAAAAAATTGTGTAGACTATCTTAAATTAATTTTATAAACATTTTAACCTAAAAATATTTAAATTTCGATAAACATTAAAAAAATCACTAAACCGACATATGAAACTCATGAAACACTATAGAAGAATATGAAACACTTGATAGAGATGTATAAACACAAGACACATGAGCAAACACATGGTTTTGGAAGATGGTAGAAAGAAAAATTGGAAGAATTGTAGGAGAAAAGTAAGTTTTGTGTGGATGTTTTAACAAATATATAGGTATTTATAGAATTTTTGGGTGAATTTTGAGTTAAATAATTTTTTTATAATTATTCTAACCGTTGAGAAATTTTTTTTTTTTACAGTTAGATTTGATCATATTCGATTTCAGTTATTGAATTCAATAAATTTGTAAATATAAAACAAAAATATTAACTAAATTAAATGTGAACCGTTGGATAACCAACAACTCATTTGAATGTGAGTCATTGATCAACCAAAAGAGCCGTTGGGCTCAATTTTATCGGCTGACAAGTGGGAGACACACCTATGTGGGTGGAGGCTCCACCACTAATCTTGGCTTAAATCCTGGCCTAAATATGATTTTTTTTTTTTTTTTTTTTTTAGGTCCAAATTAAAACTGGGGTTGGAATGAATTGGAAGAAATAGAAAGGGAATTATAGATTTTAAGCCATAGGTTGGAGTTGGCCTAAGCTCAATGTTTTTGCTAAATTCAAGGAGCCGAATAAAGAGATTCCGCAAAGATGGATTATGGTGGACTCTCACAATTATGGGCCCACAAAGTTCGTGTCCCCTTCCTTTACCCAAACTTGAGCCTGGTAACATGCAATTTGGGTCCCTTTTGCCTGGTAACATGCAATTTGGGTCCCTTTTGATCCTCAAGTCACATCCACAGATACACATCATACACGCGGCAGCAATCTAATTTGCTTATGACTTGGCAATGTCCCATCAGGTACAAAATAGACAACGATGAAAAGGTCAAAAGTATTCGTACCAAGAAAGATGGTTGGAAAATGTTTTTAAAAAAGATATGCTAAGAAGATTAAATTTAGAAATAAAATTTATAAATTAAATGAATTGATAGGATTGAGTATGTTTATTAATACTTAAGTAATAAATCAATCATTAATTTTCATGTCATTTAATTTCTTAAATTTTGTCTTTAAATTTAGTTAATCTAACATTAAATAAAAGTATTTTTTAAAGAAAATATTTATTAAATCAATGTAAATTGATCAAGGAAAATCACTTTTTTTTTGGTACAGCGTTATATTTTACATTAAAAGGAAGAAAAGTTCGGTTAACCCACACACTAAGCAATCTAATTAGAATCTAAAATATTTCACTTACAAGTAAAAAGAAATATCATCTTAAATACTTTTGAAATTCAAAATTATTTTCTCTAAAATCTCTTTCAGTGTATGCTCTAACAAAAAAAAAAGTTAAATCTCTTTCAGTGCTCTTTCATAAAGTGCAGAGACTTTTTTGGCAGTCGATACATTATCTCAGTCTCAATGGTATAAAAATTAAAAGAATTACTTTATTAGACCCATTTATTTTATCGCTACACCTAGTCAAAATAATTTTTTTTTGAAATTATTATTAACACTTTAAATATCTCATTTAGCATTTCAAATTCTTTATAATTAGAAAAAAAAATACAGTAGAATAAAATTTTTGAAATTCTAATAATAGTTCCATTTTTTCCACTGAATTTTCAAATTTGTCCTTAAAAGCACGTTTGTTTGGCGTCCTTAAGTTTCACTTCACTGAACGGGATTAAAAATTAATGAAGTGCCGTGTTTGTTACGTACGCGGATTAGCTTTAACGGACTTAGCTTTCACTCGCTAGTCTCTAAGACCTTCCGTCCTCGCCTTGTCCTCCTCATCGCCTCTCCTTGCCTACAACCTCGTCTCTCTCTTCCCCTCCCTCCCAACCGTCGAATAATCCAGAGCCTCTCTCGTCGTCCTCCTCAGCAAGCTCCTCTCTCTGCAGATCCTCCAATTCCCGAGAGTTGGAGCACCTCTCTCTGCGGATCCCCCAATCCCCTCAATTCTCGAGACTTGGAGCCCATATCGCTCGATTTCACCGATGAGGAGGCTCTTCCCTTTGCCGAAGCCCTCAATTCCCGAGACTTAGAGTTCGTATCCAACGAACCTGAACGAAGAGGAGGACGTGAAGGAGGAGATTGCGGTGGATTCAGGGGATGGGTACGCCGTGAAGAAGGACATTGCGGTGGCCAGTGCGCGTGTTATGGCTTGGAGTCTGACGGGACCAGGATTTCCTCTGAGAATTCGACGAAAAATAGAGAATCCAAGTCTGGTGCGAAGATGAGAGGAAAGGTAGAGAGATTGGGGTAGAGAGTGAGAGAACTAAAAAGGAGCAAACTATATTTTTTTTAATTTTAAAAATAATTTAATCTGTTATTTAATTCGACACTCCACCAAATACTTTATTATTCTTATACTACGGTTCATCCTAAAACTTTGTTTAGATGAAGGAAATAAACTTGAAATTTTGACAAATGACAGAAATTATAAAATTGACATGTATAAATTCCCTTGTTTGGATTCATAAACATAGGAATTTAGAATTTCCACGTGAAAAAAAAACCTTGGAACTTGGGACGTTCAATTTCCAAGATTAAATTCCACATAAATATGTTTCATTTTCAAATTTCTATGATATAAGTGAGAACTTAAAAATAACAAATTTAGAATTCAAATTTTATTGTTATTTTAAGTTAACTAAATAAAAAAATTCATAAATTCTAGATAATTAAATTTCGTCATTTGAATTTTTATTATTTTAAAATTTCTTAGTAATCTTAAATTTTCTCATCCAAACAGAGTTTGAATGAGAAAAAAAGAAAATAAAGAGTAGTGTTTTTACTTGAGCGAAGAAAGATTGATGTTTTTATCTATACACCCAATATCCATAGCCCACCACTTAATTGCACCTCTCTATTATTTTCAGCAAACCCAAACCAAAACTTAGGCAAAATTTTCCCTCGTGTTCGTCAACGATTATTATCTCCTTTCATTTTTTTTCCTTCTTCTCTTCTTCCCTCTTGTCATACCCTTAAGAAAAATAAGAACCACCATATTGTACTGTCGTTGAACATTACGCTCCCACTAACTCCACTTTACACCGGCCTCTCTCTCTTTTTCGATTAATTGAATCCAAGATCACATGGAGAAACAAAAAGAGAGAAAGAAAAGCATCACAAATCATCGGAGCTTTGATTTTTTTTTTTTTTGCTGGAAAAAAATGGAGAGGTGCAGTGATGAAAGCCGAAATGTTTTTGCTCACTACCCTAAAGTGATGGTGATCCTCATCGTCTTATTCTTTACGGTTGAATGAGTTTGATTTAATTTATCCACTACATAAATATTGAAACTTCAAATAATCTAATAGTAATTATGCTTACCACCACTTTAGAGTGGTCATGCACTCAGGTGAAAGCCTCCCTTTCCTCTGTTTTCCCCGATGCCAACAGAATATCCCAATGTGAAGGACACATGTGGTGTTTTACACCTTCTGAAAGGTCCAATTTAATATCGCATGTGCCACTCACGACCTAATTAGATAGAAAATTTTGACAAAATTAGGTCAATGTGCAACAATTAGTAAACTAAATGAGTCAAATTGCGACAATTCAAACTTCATGTCAAATTACATGAACTAAAAACTTAACTTGGCAAAGATAAAAAGTACTTCTGGAACAATTTACTGCAAATTCTAAAGCTTCATCATTTTTTATTGCTACGATTTCGTCGAAAAGGTTTAAAAGCAAAAACAGAATCAGGTTGTAATCTATTAAAATACTTTGATCAAGTGCAACATTTGTGTGCATGTATATCATATTATCATATACTTGAGGAGGAGACAAATGGACTGTGAAGTAGGGGATTTAACATGGGATTTGCAATAATGTCATGTACAAATTGCTGAGTGGATCACAAACCTTTCTAGTTTTAGCGTTTCCCTCGCTTTTCTCCGAGGATTAGGCCACAGAACGTTGCTATGAACAATAATAGGTATTTGAGAACCAGAGAGATCAACTAGGGAGTAGGAAGCCTCCCTCTCATCAGTCACAATATCTGAGATCAGGAACATAATTCTGCAACAAGCAAAGGAAATATACTGTTACTAATTCATATACTAAAGACCAAAAACAAAGAGCAACTGAATTCTAATGTTTTAATGTAGAGTTGCATACTCAGAAAGTGCAGTGATCTCTTAAGACGGTTCGAGCAAGATCAACCGCTCCACTCTTTTTGTAGATGAGATGCAAATTATAAGCTGCTTCTCTTCGAAGGTCACAGTAACCCAGTTTTCGATTTTCAGCAGACTCTGGCTTTTCATGCGGAAGCTTTGGCATGGGGTAATCCTTCACTTGCATTGCAAGAACTTTGTCATAATGCCAAGCTGCCAGAGTCACAATGCCGACCTGATGGTAAGCCCTGGCTACGTTGTAGAAAGCCTCCTGGCTGAATTCACAAAGCTGCAAATTGTTGTGGAGGAATGCTAATCCTTGTACAACACACTGGTGCCTATTCTGAAGTCTATGTCCAAGGGATAAGTTGATTAAAGCAGTACCAACACATAGATTAATCAGGGGATTCTCCGGCAATAATTTATCAGCTTCAAGGTATTCCCTCGCAGCATCTTGATGACGGCTTTTTTTAGTAAAATGATGCCCAGAAATGAGACTGGGAGGTGCACAGTTTCTGAGTTTGTCTCTCTTATTGCGTAGAAACTTGTAATGCCTTGCATACCAGTCATCTAATCTGCTAATTACCTTGTAATAGCATTTCCAGGCAGCATTTCTATATGGATGCAGGTCCACAATGTATTTTACACAGCTAACCCCATGCTCAGGATCAGGAGTGTTGTATGCAATTTGAGCTCCAAGAGACCGGAGTTCCTCCGCAACAGAAGATGTGTTGCGAGTTACTTTCAAAAAAAGATTTATTATCTCCAATGCTTCGCAATATCTTTGCAAGGAAGCCAATGACTTACATAAGTCTATTATGAGGCCGTTATGCTCTTTGTCCTTGAGAAGATCTGGCAAGGGAGGTTCTTTATGTTTTTCTTCTAGAGGATCATCATCTGAATCATCACTTTGCCAGTCAACTCCAAAAGCCATTGCCTCAGCTTTCTTATCTTCCTTTACTTTTGCCTTCTTCTGAAGCAACTTCTTCGCTCTTGCAGCTTTCAGCAGATCTGAAGCAGGAGCTACTGGTCTAGATATGCACAATAGGTTCTGTTTTTGGTGATCCTCCAGGACCTTGACTCTTTATAACAGGACAGTTTTTGTGAGCCTTCTTTTCACTTTCACCTTTTGCTGAAGTGATTCGATGCTTAGTGACTCATGTACGAGATGATAGATTGTATCTACAAATTCCTTGGCCATCCGCTTAGCTCGGTAAATGTTGCAAAGCTTCAGTTTCACCTTTCCATTGCACCACCATGGTTCTGATTTATCTGTTTGGTGGTCCATATGACCTAGATTTTTCGGAGGAGATAGCAACAAAATGGCTTCATCTTCCCTGGCTTCTTCAACAAGAATAAAAGCCAATGTTAATCGGGCCTCAATATCATCTTCAAGTGTCTTCAAAGCTTCATAGAAGCACAAAATCGCCTGTACTCTATCATTCAAGGACAAATGACATTGAGCGATTTTCATAATTATAAAGCCGTTATTAAATTCAACATTTCCTTTCAACATCAAATAATACTTCAACACAGAACTATGATGCCCAAGACTCATATATGACTTTGCAACTTTAGCAATCAAGTCAGCATTATCTGCACTCTTCTCATCAAGAGCACTAAAAATACTTTTTGCCTTTTCCATATTTCCAAGGTAAGCATGGCATATTCCTGCTTTAATTGTCATTGCCAGAGGCATCTCTTTTTCTGAACAGAATACCAGTTGTGCATGCTCGATATGCTGAAGGGCTTCCTTATGTGAATTATTTTCCATAAGTATGGAAGCCAGCAGATTAACGACACTAAGATCAGCTTCAGTTGGATGATTTATGAGATAATCCTCCAGAATCTGTATAGAACGCTCTTGCTGACCACATCTTTCATACATTATTGCTCCCGTCTTGAGTGCTTCAACATTATCAGGACATGCTTGTACTATCTGTTCATACGACGCAACAGCTTTCTGATAATCTCCAAGCTTAACATAAAGTGAAGCACGATCAAATTTCAGATTCATATTTTCAGGATCTGCTGATATTGCTCTTGAAAGGCAATAAATAGAATCATGACTGTTACCTTGTTTATTGAACCGGTCAAAAAATAGTTCCCAAAGAGCTGGATCTCTTGGTGTTAAAAATGCAGCAATTCTGTAGCAATTCAAGGCATCCAATTCATTACCAAGATTATCATGGATAATTCCAAGCGTATGATATGAGTCAGGCAAATTTGGTGCTTTCTTTACAACTTCAGACAAGATGGGTACGGCCTCTTCAAACCGGCCAAATGCATAGTGAAGATTAGCTTCACCAAGCATTCTATTAATCTCGGGTGTAAGTTTCTTCGTTGATCCTTTTCGTCTACCTCTTTTCTTACTCTTCCTTGATCACCTTTGCATACCATAATTCATGGCCTCCATTATTTCCTCCATGCTTGCTCCAGTAAGATCCTCTTGCCTGCCCTTCTTAGCTGAACCTTCGGGCCTGCTATCCACAAGTGCTTTTCTCTTTCTCTCGGCTAATGCCTTGTAATCTGTCCCCAGAAGTCGCTGATAAAGTTGGTCACCATCATCTTCCACAAAATCTAAAGGATTAATCCCATCTATAAAACTCAAAACATTCTCTTCCTCATCCCCAATGTCTTCCTCCACCTCCTCATCTTCCTCATCCTCTTCGTCATCCTCGACATCTTCTTCCATGTCTTCTTCGGGACCCACAACACGTGCATACCCTAAAGCCTCCCCATGATCACCATCACCAGTAGCATTCTCCTCATTATCCATCAAAATGTACAGCCAAATCAACCCTCTCAGATACCCAAACAAAGAATATCATACACCAGCAAACAACCAGCGATACCCGGAACCTGTTTTCCCAATTATTTCCATCAACATCAAAACCCTAATACTTAAAACTCCCAAATTAGGACAAATCATATTCATAACACAAACAAATACACAATTCAAAACGAAAAATGGATCACTCTGATTGACCCAAAACCCTAAAAACATTGCGGCAATTCACAAGAATCATACTTTAGCATTAATAAGATAAATGAAAGAATATTAGACTAATTCAAGTGTAGAGCAGCTGAGAAACTCAAATTTGGGGGAGAAAATTAGGGTTTTGGGGATTGGAGAGTTACCTTGAGCTGGGACAGGAGATTGGAACATGTATCAAAATCGTTTTGTAGAAATGTAGCTCGGAATCGCTAGAAATCTTTATGATTTGGGTTCAAAGCACCTTAGAAGGGTGCGCAAGCCGGTGGCAAATATGAAATATCAAACAAATTATTTAAAAAATCGACAAAAAAGAAAATTATCCGTATTAACGAGGTCAATGTTTACGAAAATTTTAAGGTGCTTTAGAATATTTTATATTTTAGAATTTTTATTCGTTTATATATTTGCTATTGGGATTGATTGACTATAATTTTAATTAATCTTTGTAAAAACAATTTAATCGAATTTTTGTTCATAAGCACAAAATTATGTAATCTTCTGTGTGTGTTAAGCACTTAGCACATGTTATGAAAGTCATAAATCACAATATTTTCCAATGTCAAATATACTTGTGTGATCGAGCAATTTTATTCATATAACACATATGTTAAAGAATTAGGATTGCTCTTATAAAATTCAAGTTTTGGCTCATTATAGGAATTTGATTCTTACAACATACTGAAACTCAATTTTCCGACCCACTATGAAAGGTGTAAGTAAAGAGATCGCTATATCCTTAAGAACAATGTATATCCCCATTGGATGAGAATGTATAGGTTAGAGACAGACATGCTTGTATAAAATGCTTTTTAACTAAAATGGTCATTGAGATTAGTATAATTCCTTACTTTGGTCCCTGAGATTTGAAATAGATAGAAGTGCTCCTTGAGTTTGTCAACTATCAATCATTTTGGTTATTCTATGAAAAATTAAATAAGAATAAAATGACTAAATTACCCTCAAATTTTGTCAAATCATTTTGCCCTATTGCTTATTAAATTGAAAATATCTTTGTCAATTTGACCCTTATTTAATAAAAAATTTTACGGAATGACCAAAATGATTGATGGTAGATAAACTTAGGGACTACTTCTATTAATTTTAAATCTCAGAGGTCAAAGTGAGGAGTTATCCTAATCTTGCATACTATTTTTGGCTAAAAAGTTTTAAAAATCACACAAAATATTAACCAATAGACTAAAAAGAACTTGTATAAATAAAAATAATTAATTTATTACATATCTGAAAATTACGATGCCCCAACTTACAGTAGACCCTTCAAATATTTCCGAAGCAATTCCAAAGCTTCTTATATCACAATAGCCAAACCAGAACCAATAGCACCAACTTATGAAATTAACCTAAGCTATCACAGACACTGATGGAATCACAACATGAGAATAACTAAACCCCTAGCGATTTCCCACAAGAAAAATAAATAAATAAATGTATAGGATCGGTATCGAGGTCCACTTCATGAGACTCTTAAATTGCTGCTCCACCTGCAAATGTTTTCTTGTTGGGTTCAAACACGTATTTAATCAGCGATTCCTTAATCGGAAGCAGTTCAGGGAACTCTTTCTTCAGCTTTGATGCATCCATCTCATTGTTACTCCTTGCTGCAACAATAACCTTGGCTTGTTCTTCCACTGTAAAATTGGTCCACTTGAAACTGGGGTCAATGTACTTCTTGTACATCTCCAGGATCTCATTGTGACTTACCACGCCCGGGTTTGTGAAGTTCCAGATGCCCCTCAAGTTCCTCTTGGCCATCTCAACTGAAATGGGTAGAAGCTCGTCCAAGATGGTCATGCTGTTTGGAATGTCGACCACTTTATTGTAGCGCGAGATCTTTGTGATGAAGTTGCGTGGATTGCTGAGATCAGATGATATTGGCATCCGAACTCTAAGAGTGCAAACATTGTCATACTCCTTCAGAAGCTCTTCAACCTGTTACACAAAAATGGGAAATAGAGGTATCAGTTGGGAACTTGGGAGCTATTCTAATATTATCACAGTATTAGATACGACAGATGGATAAAATACCATGGCTTTGGTTTTGGAATAAAATGAGCCCGCGAAATTGGGTGTGTCTTCCTCCTTGAACCCAATTCCTGATCTTGGTGGATGGGCATCATCATACTCGAAAATGCAACCAGTGGCATAATTCACCACTAGGAGGCCGTGATCTCTGCAGACATCAGCCAAGGTTAATGTACCAACAACATTGGTGCGAATTGTTTCTGGTTTATGAGATTCACACCAATCCACATTGGGTCTGCCTGTCACTCCAGCAGCATTGAAAACATGGGTTGGTTTGACACGCAGAATATCAGCCATGAGCTGTGACCGTTCCTGAAGACGCCCTCGTCCATACTCACACGATATCCCTTGCTTCTCACAAATCTTCCCAAGAAGGCCTCCGATCCACCCTGTTTTACCATAAATCAAAAACTTTAGAGATGGCTTCTCAGTAGATGGGATGTTCCTTGGAGCTGGAACGACCAGTTTGCTGTGACTAGAATCACTTGCTGACAAAGGGTAAGCAGAATCGCCAGTATCGGAACCATCAAATTGTCTTTCAATTCCAGGAACCATGAGCATTCTTGGATGCGGGAGCAGTGCCCCAGAAACATCCCCCCACCATTGGGGGTTCTTGACATACCATTCCATGGTCTTCCTCAAGCCCTCCTCCCACAAAGTCCTTTCCAACCATCCCAAGCTTTTCAGCTTCGAGTCATCCAAGAAATATCTCTGATCATTGAAAGGCCTGTTCTCTACAAACTTGACATGAGTATCTGGGTTCAGAGAAAATAGCTGGCAAATTTCCTTGGCCACATCAACCACCCTCCTCTCTTTCTTCGTCCCAATGTTGTACACATGGCCTACCTCACCCCTATGAAGAATGACTTCAAATGCCTCTGCTACATCCTCACAATAGAGATAACTTCTGACATTGGATCCATCACCATGAATCGGGAGAGGCTTCCCTTGCATAGCCAAGAGAATGAATTTTGGAATCATCTTTTCAGGGAACTGGTTGGGGCCATAAACATTGTTTCCTCTGGTCGTTATCACAGGCAATCCATATGAACGCCCATATGCCATAACAAGCATCTCCGCTCCAGCCTTAGTTGCAGAGTAGGGGTTTGTTGGAAGAAGCTGAGAAGCCTCATGATTTCCCACCACAGCATCCTCATCTGTCTCCCCGTAGACTTCATCTGTGCTTACATGAATAAATCTTTTGATTTGACCGGTGACTTTGCATGCTTCTAGAAGAACATGTGTACCGTAGATGTTGTTTTGGGTGAACTCAAAGCTGTTACCAAAAGAGTTGTCGACATGGGTCTGGGCTGCAAAGTGCATTATTGTATCAATGTTCTCGGTCAAAAGGATGAAGTTGACAAGATCGGCACTGCCTATGTCTCCCTTGATAAACTTAAGGTTGGGGGATGACTTTGAAGGATTAAGGTTCTTCAAATTTGAACAGTAATCAAGCTTGTCAAGGACTACAATCTTGTAGCCAGGGTAGTTCTGGATAAGCCGGTTGCAAACATGGGAAGCAATGAAGCCAGCAGCTCCAGTAAGGAGGATGTTCTTCGGTTTATACGCAGTATCCATGTCGATCCAAAAGAGTTCTGCATAATCCAGCATTGAAAGTTTGACTCAGACTCCCAAAACTTGAACTACAAGAAAGCATGCTAACGAATGCAGGAGAAACAGGGGATATATTGCCACTAACACGGAAACAAAAAGTGGAAATTCACGGACAAAACAAACTTGCAACAGAGGTTTCACGAGTTTATAACTTAATAATTACAAATTTAATAGACCTTCATCATTCTTAGACTGCATTTCAAGCGAGATAACAACGAAAAGAAAATAAATTTTAGGTGCAAAGGCATCCATTCTCTAATCAAAACTAAAAAGGCACATTCCACCGAATATATACAGGTAAATTTGCTGCATTATTATTTCCAGGAAAAACAAAAATACTACAAGGGTAAACTTATTTTGCTTGTAAGAGCGTCGATTCAAAACCTTTATCCGAAAAGGACTAGCAGAAATTTAGCACCCCCCTCCGCTGAGCACTTAAAAAATACAGAAGGAAGACTACTCTTACATCTGATCAGATATTTAATATCTATCAAACGAACTAAAACCGCCTAATTAAGATAATGGCAGAGTTACCATCAAAGAAAAAAAAACAGCAGGGATTAAGAAGGCAACAAGAAACTCTCGTGAATAATTAAATCGGCCATACAAATAGCTTCTTTTAACGGATTTCTGTCTTGATTTTCAAAGAGAAACAAGCATTTCGTTTTTCGAAATCAATTTCCTCCCCCCCCCCCTCCCGCAAACAACCAACAATGCGAAGTGCATTCAACTCGGATTATGAAAAAAGCAGCACAAAACCGACCCAGATCGTACCCAACTAAAAAAATCGGAATCTGCCAAAAACCCAACATTCATAAAGCAAACAAATAACAACCCACATTGAATTTACTACCATTAACCCAGTAAAACACGCTCAAAATTCGAATTACTTTATGCATAAGGAAGAGATCTGGGTCTACATTGAGGGAGTTTTTCCTTGATTAACAGTTATCGACCCGTGATTAAGTAAATTAAACTAGTTTAATTACAGAAAAAATGGAATGATTGAAGCTTTATTGACTTACAATTCTGGGTTGGACTGGATCTTGAGTTTAATTCGCAGCCCTTTGTCTGTGCTGGATTTAAGACAGATTGAAGAAGAAAGAAGAGAAAAGACCAGAAAAAAAGGGAGAAGGAGATGAGTGTGTGTGAGGAGGGAAGGTAAAGCATGGGGTATTTATAAATATGCATCACAATAATTGATATTTTGCATTTACAACAATCCTTTTTTTTTCTTCTTTGGCTAAATATTTTTCAGGCCTTTTTGAAAAGCGATTTTAAAATGATCCACAGAGTTTTAATTGTTTTATATTGCATAAGGTTTTTTTTACATTATACAAATTTATGCAGTTAGGTCATTTTGATCGTCTCATCTTTTTATTTTCATTAAATTGATGTCGAGTTTCGAATTCTTAATGCACTAACTTGTAAATCACATTTCATTACATGAGCAAAAGATAAAAAATAAAAAATAAAATAAAAAATAAAAAATAAAAAACCCCTCAACATCGAGCTTTAGAATATCCTGAATTGATGTTTTGTCTTCCAGACTTATAACTAATTGCGTATTTTGGTACATAATGTGCAAGTGTCTCTTGTATGTCAATTCACATATGCCA